TTTCTTTTTTTTTACCCTGGACAATTAACACAGCGCTATTTAATCCCACGGTAAGCAGAGCTTGTGTTGTGGGTACTAGATAACTGATATAAATACTTAGCTACTTTTTTTTGTAAATACATACATAATATATATAGATAACACCCAGACCGATACTAACAATTATATTATGAATGCAAATGATGTACCATGCGAGGAATTGAACCAGTGGCCATCGGAAGTAAAGCGGTGTGTTAAACCACTAGACCACCGAGGCCTTCAAACTATTTTTTAATGGTATCGAAATAGGATGATCTAAAGAACGACCGTTGCTTATATTGACCAACTCGGTGGTCTAGCGATTTACACCGTTCAATGATCACACGGTGCAAACATTTGTATTCATAAGTATGATTGTGTGTATTGGTCTGGGTATTTTCCATATATATTAAGTATGAATTTATAAAAGAATTAAGTATTTACATCAGTTTTCTAGTACCCAGATCACAAGCTCTATTTAGCTTGGAACTAGATGGTGCTGGGTACGTTGTATAGGGTTATTTTTACTATTATATAATCATTACCAGCTCCTACAAAATTTCGTCTTCAGATGACGCTAATGTTGATATTCCGGAGGATACTCATATTAATTTTAAATGGATGAAAAGGGAATGCTTTTGGTAACGATAAACAATAGTGGGGTACAAGTGGAAGATGATGGAATGAGCATGAAGTCAAGTAACTTAGTCAGTCCAGGCATATTTACCAGGAATTAGCTACGATTTCCAGGAAGACCGCGTATAGGTTGACCTGTTATAGGGCCACTTGCAACCATTCATAACAATCTCATCTCCCACGGACTAATATGGTCATTTTCACTTCTTTTGTTGATATATCAAAATAAAACAACTTACAAACTAAATTACTTGATCGCAGAAATAGATCAGATAGAGGTACCCACGCAGACGACATTGTACAAGCCCACCTCCATTTTTAAACTAAACAAACATCCACGTACAGTGACCTGTGGCAAATAAATCTTGTAGCGACTGAATGTACTACTAATAATTCATTTATCTGTCAAAAATATTCTCTATTATTTCGGCATAGCTTCCGATATTTCAATTAAGGACAGAATAGTATCGTTTCTATAGTTCATCAGACTCTCTTCTATATACAAACGATTAGATAAATTTTCCTGTTTAAAATACCGTAATTTTAAAAATATGAAATATTTTTGAGCAATCTCAATCTAAGTATAGTGTGTCTTTATTATTGTAACTAGCGAAAATAGAAGATCAAAGCACTCTATTATTTATTACGATTGCGACCAGCCAAAGTCAATGTTAATCATATTTGAAAATATTTTAATACCATCTAAAAATAAATCGAATCAACATAGCTAATAATGTGTAATATAAAATAATTCTGACATAATATATTAACCATTTGAAATCTATTGTGGTATTTATTGCAAATAAATTGACTTGATTGTCTTGTTTGTTAACATATCAATGTTTTGTAAAAATAGTTGGACCAAGAAGTATAAAAAGTCGAATATAGTCCTTATGTACGTACTATAATTATCAATATAAAAAAATACTACTAGAAATTTTAGTAAGTACACAAAATTAGTTATTATGTACGAATATCAGACGTTATATCCGCCTGAATGATAAGATGAAGATAAGTCAGTTATCCCATTATCGCTTAGAAACTATTGCGAGCAGGGCAAACTGATATGACATTGCTAGCACTAGGGTTAGAGGTCCTCGGTACTAACTACATACCTCCCTATGGGAAAAGGGGATTGTTAGTAATGTAGACTATTAAAACTATAGCTAGCATTATACCACGTTAGCTTGACCTCCACGCGGTTCCCCCATGTAAACCATCGTGATAAATTCCTGGAGAATTGGTTCAATGTCATCCATTTGAAAGGAAACTATGTCCCCCCCCCCCCCCCAAACAAAAAAGAGCTTGCGGGCGAAACTACTACAAATAACTAGTTTCAATAAAATTTTATTTATACTAATACGCCTGACTTAAACGTGGTTGAACGATAAAAGGAGCTTACATAGTATAAAATGAAAATGGATAAGATTTATCTCTACAACTGTCTAAAATAATTTAGTATGTTTGTAGTATTTTATAATGTAGTAGTCTAGACAGAGCAGACTTGTTATTTATTGAACGCGTTATTATGTTGCTCATTATGTTAGTGCAGTTCACCATACAAGTGGACAGATAGAAAAAGTTACGAACTATTAAACTGTTGACAGACAGGCGGCGTCGGTGATACGTTGCAATATAAACTATTCTAACTATATACAAATAAATAAAATTGAAGTCTCTGTTTGTAATTTGAAATTAACAGCTTTTAAGAAAGCATGTAATATGTACATGCTTTCTTAAAAGCTGTTAATTTCAAATACACGTATATACATATATATGTATATACGGTACTTACCAAAAAATACATTATATTTATTTATGTCCGTCACTCCTGTATCTTTGTTCATGTTGATCTCTTAACGGTTAGATCGACTTTAACGTGACTTTCACTCGCAGATAACTATTCTTGTAAGGAGTAACTTAATCTGCCTTAATTTTTATTCTTAGATTTTAAATAATATATAATATGTATGTAATTAAATGTAAAAAGTAATAAATTTATGAATAAGTGAGTAATAGTAATATGTAAGTGTAAATAATATCAACTTTACAAAAAATGAAAATTAAGTGTTAAGAAGGGGAAAAGCCAGTAAACTGTAAGCTTTCAGAATATCTTAAACACAAAAAAAATGCGGTTCTGTGGAAACAGACGATAGTTATTTTTTATATAACAGCAAACAAACTCAAAATAACCTTTACCTATATACTCGTATTACATCCACTAGTATATAGGTAAAGGTCGCCAGCCAGTACCACAGAGATTGTTACGTTCATGGTAACCATCTTATTCCTGAAAACCAAGCTGTAAATATCATGTAAATTTCCTCCAAGTGATAGGAATTTCACTGGCAGAAATAAACTGTCTTATACAGATTTTCCGTCTTGGTATTTCACATCATAGTAAATATAACTAAAACAAATAATAACGTATATCAAATAGTTAATAAACCGTATATAACGTTATATTAAACTCGTTATTCATTAAGATTAGTCATTCATAATGAAGGGATGATATTCTTCATGAATGATTATCAACTTACAATATAGTCACTGTATGCAGTTAGTCAATCAGTATAATTGTGTGTAGACTTTTGCAATTCATGTACAGTTAAATCATCATTACTTTGATATAAGAGTGTTAATTGACTTTATGTAGTTTATTTAATAGAATTATTATTTAAATAAATAACAACGAGCTGGTAATACCTTACGTAAATACGTGATGCCCATCGTTTATATATATGAATAGCACTAGTAACATCACTTGAAAATATTGTATATTTTTTATTGGGCATTTTGGACTATTGTCAGCCTGTAACACTGCGTCCTGCATAGATCTACTGACGGCCTCTGTAGTCTAGCTGTCTAACACAGCTTTACTTCCAATGGTCGCGGGTTCGATTCCTCGCACTGTGCAAACATTTGTATTCATGAGTATAATTGTTTGTATCGGTCTGGGTATTTTCTATGTATATTATGTATGTATATACAAAAAAATATTAGGTATTTATATCAGTTGTCTATTACTCATAAAACAAGTTTACCGTGGGACTAGATGAAGCTGTGTTAATTGTCGAGGGTTCTTTATTTATTGTTTTCGCTGTTTTTCAAAGTTTGCTATCTAGACCCATCAGGGATAATAATGTGACGCTCATTCCCTAGGGCTAGGGCTATATCATACCTCGTATTCTGTAATATCACTGCTATACCTCGACCCTTCCACCGAAACACAACTTGCAAAGAAAGCTACTAAGACTGAAGTATGGGATACAAACTTCATTTTTTTAAAGTTTTCCTCGGTGGAAATAGTAGAATAATAAAATTGTTCGTCATCCTTGGATATCGGCATGTTACTCGTACAGTGCCCGTAACTGCATCTCGGCACGTAACTTCATAAATTTTTACTGTATCTAATGTAAACAGCTTTAGTATATTGACAGCGACGGCTATTTGGTCGCCATATTGTGATTCGATATTCAAGTTTTGAAATCGTAAACAGTACTCTATATTGGTTTTCTAGGTTAATCATTTATATTGATAACGTTTTAAGTATCTACATATATTAGATAACATACTTTTTCTTGTATTAGCTTATTGTTATAAAATATGTGATAAAATGTAGTATGCGATATATCAAAATGTTTTGTCATAACTTGTCCTGGTTTACTGATATACCATATCTTGAGTTTGACCAAGAAAGTAAAAAAAACCTTATTTATTTTATATTATTGATTACCTAATCATAACAAATAGATACAACTTACAATTAAATAACACAACCGGCTAACTATTAATAATGCTTATTTTATTATAAAATATGCATTATTTTTAATTTACATTTTTATTAATATTTCGAAGGTTTCAATCCAGACGATATATTCAATTATCTTATGATAATAATATAATTTTAGATAATAATACCGGGTTATTTATCATTACGATATTACTTTTTTGTGTCAATATTGCCTTATATTTTATTTGTGTACGTCTCTATTAAAGTTAGAACTCTTTTTTCTACAAATATTAGGAGCATAACGTTCAGTATTACAAATAAAAAATGAGAGGCTTTAAATTTAATTAATTTTCTATAGCTCAAATATTTTATTAGTGAGAATATTAAAAAAAATATTAATATTTTTAACCACGCAGGTATTTCCTAAATAAGATATTAATTCATTTAAATGTAATAAAGCTATCGTTGTTAATTTTATATTTTTTTAACATTACATTGATGTGTAAAATGCATTATAATTATTTATTCATATGTTTATTTGTTAATTTAATTTAATACAAATAAAATTTCTTTACATGAAATTTTATTTTATAAAAGTCTAGTTAATACTTACAGAATATTTCTCATGGTGGTAGATATCCAAAAAAGCATATTCACTTAATAAACAATCACTCTTTATACCACCAGTTAATTACACATTGCAATAACAAGATATATTTTATATTTAGTAAACTCTTGTCAAGCATCAAAAACATCGCACAGAGTTACAATATCACAGACATGCGTACACGCATCCGGACATCTTTACGTTTAATCGTAGACTGGCGCCGGATTGCAATTTGCGATATTGTAAGCACGCCGCGCCGGCTGTGCCGGGAGCTTACAGCTTCTATCAATTAATTTTATGACACTGTACTAATGACAAAGTTACACGTCATACCCATTTTAAGACTTATATTTGAGGAAAAACAAGACCGTTTAGTACTGTAGATAATTATTTTTGATGGGTATTTTATAATTTATTTTATTAATGGAATGGGAAACAAGCTATGCGCTCTCGGTAGCTATCATCTATATGGGAAGAGAATTGTTAAAATGTGGATTAATAACCCCACAAGTTTCTTGCTCATTCTTCTTGTGATGAATCTGGATTCAGAGTGAGTGGTAGAATCAAAATATGACTATTCAAAAGTGCTTGTAATGAGTTTATTTGAATAAAGATTATTTCTATTTCTATTTCCATGGCTAGCAATGTATCGTACCAGGTTAACCTCCACGCGGTTACTGGAAATCATCTTGTGGGCCTCGGTTTTGCACACCATTTTACCTCCGATGGTCGCAGGTTCGTTTCCTCGCACGGTGCAAACATTTGTATTCATGAGTATGATAGTTTGTATCATTATGGGAGTTTTCTATATATATTATGTATGTATTTACTAAAAACAATCATCTAAGTGTTTATATCAGTTGTCTAGTACCCATAACACAAGCTCTACTTACTGTGGGACTATATGGAGTTGTGTTAATTGGCCTGTGTCTATTTATTATTGTTATTGTTATCTTGTTAACTTCCTGGTGAAATTGATAGACCATCTGACGCGATCTCCTACTCATCTTATCATCTTCGACTGGTGCCCCGCCAGCGTATATCGTTAACGCAGGTGAGTGCACCATTCCATTATCCTCCCTTAAACAAAACTGTCGCCTATACATGTAAAGTAAGTACTACGGAAACTCCGTTATCAAATGATGGTTGTCATACAACTCATACACATGACACATATACGCTTCTACATAACTGTACGTACATTCATTATAACTTGCTTGTACTAGTTGTTTTTAGTAACTGACTTATTATTCATCATTTGTTACGATATTACTGCAGGTATAAAATCCAAACTGAAAGGTTAAATAAATATCGATCATAACTATAGTGGAATACCTATATCTTTGTGTGTTCTCAATGCAACATTACGTACATACTATAAAACAAGATAGACGGCTCTGTCTATACGTTTAGATATAATATTTTAAATTACACAACGGATTCTGATGCAGTTTTCATCTATCGATGAAGTCATTCAAGAGGAATATCTATATATATATATACATGCGTATTATATACTATAAAATATATTAGTAAAGCTGAGAAATTCAAAGATTTATAATGCGCTCGGAGCTGGGGCGGGTCGACTGTATGATGTATACATACGTATAGAACCAATTTATTCACCAGTTCATTATTGTGACATAAAATATTTACGATTTGAAATTATTAGTTTTTAACTACAGTTGCAACTTATTAGAATATTTATTTATACGCACATATATTTTATTTTACTCTAAAACATGAAACAAAAGATAAATTTTACAATCAGATATAATAATTCTGTGCAGACCAGTTCAACGAGTATTAGTATTCTGCACAGATATCACAATGAAGCTGTGAAATACTAATTTATTATCTTGTTGTAGATATACCTACTAGACGTAGTAAATATTAGGTATTCTGAGATAATAATTTATTATATTTATATATTAGATAAGTCTTTATATTATGACCTGTCTGAATTTTTAGATAAATGATAGCCTATTATCGTCCACGGACACTATCTTCGCGTCAAATTTTATTGAGACCCATCTTGCTGTTAAATTGTTGTAAGGTAACAAAAATAGATTAACACTTTCCATATTTATTATAATATTAGTATAATTAAAAATGTACTGTTTGATTTTCTTGTCAGTTCTTCTTAATTGAATTGGCCGAATTAAATGATAGCTCTCTCTCTGCTTAGCCATTTCCCATTTCATTCTTCTCATTTCATTTCAGTCTTCGAGTCTGAACTGTGTCGTCGAGTCGGTTACTTCCGTGTTCTTCAGGTCGTTCATGATAACGGACTGCCAAGTTAACAGGGGTCTTCCTCGTCTCTTTGGGCCGGTATTAAGATGCAGGACTTTGTTGGAATTAAATGATAGCAATAGTGATAATAATGTTAATATGCTAATAAAAATCTTTCATTGTTTTAAGACAGTTATCAGTCTTAAACAATGAAAGATTTTTTACTTTAATTTTATTAATTATTTAAAAGTTGAAAACGCTGTCCTTTAACACAATAATAAACGTAAATTTATGCATATATTATAAACACTATTGAACAAATATTTCTTTCTCTTGCTTTTTTTCTGTTTATTTTGTATATATATATACATATTTATATGTATATGTACATGTTTATTTTTTGTTAGTAATGTTTTGTTTTGTTTTGTTTGTGTTTTATTATTATTGTTAGTGTTATATTAATTGTGAGTGTTATGTTTGTACGGAATAAATACTATTTCATTTCAATATTTCTTAATGTAGAATTCTATTAGTATGTACTATTTATAAATAATATGGTAAAATATCCATGTCATTTAAATTAATTTGCAGTACTTTACTGACTTTTGGCCCCACCTCATTGTTCATGTTCGGAATTCATTACTAAAATATATTCGCAAATAGAATAATAATATCTTGATTAAATTTAAAATAAATGGTAATGATGTAATTTATATTTTTGTGAAACTATTTACGTTACATCTGTCGTGCAAAATGAATACGTTATAAGTTTTATGGAGTTCCATAGTCTTACATTGCAGGCCGTGTCGGTAGTAGGGACAGATTAGGCAGTGAAATTACAGGATAAGAGGCATGATGTCTTCTTCTAGAATAACAATGTTTGAGTATTATCACAGGTTGATACCTGTATCATGTGATCATGATATCTATGGCGTTGCTTGATATAATTAGGTGAGGTGTTAGTGTCTGACCCATTCCAATTACATAAAAAAACAGGATTTTTGAAACAGCATCGAAATTTCAGGAATTCATAGTAAAATATCATGGAATGTAAATATCTGTTATGGAATGAGTAGAATTGTTAACCGTGATTTTTTATACAGTAACAGTACTGTAAACATTTTAGTATACAGAGGTAAAATAAATGTTATATAATGTAGGATAAAAGTGAGGAGATAAATGTTTTAAAAAAATCTTGTATTCAAACTAGCTGCTTCGTAATTGGGTATTAGAAATAACAATAGGCTATTACTTTTGGGATCTTATAGCAATGAAATAAAGACTAAACATTATGGGAAGCTAGCTTCATTAAGTACATCAACTGCATTCAAACGGTCAAATCTGTTTCTAAGATTAGGGTGCACATATACACAGAAATATTGTATACATAATGAAGTTTATTTTATTTTTTTCACTTTTTAATCTGAAGTAAGTTTACGATTGTTATTTTTTAAATATTTAACGTACAGACACAGTTCGTTTACGAATTTATAATATATATATTTGTGTCTGGTTTTGTGGAACCGGTTTCGCTGCCGCTCGGATTCGAACCGAAATTGTGCCCATAACGATGTCTCTCGTAAAATGTAAAAATAATCGTTTAAGACTACAGCCTGTTAAACATCAACATCGTTGAGACGAAATTTATAAAAACCAAATTAATACCAATATCTTTTTGCCGACGGTTACGCTATACATAATGTTTAAAACTGTTCAGTTGCGAAACCAGTGTTGAAGTAAATATTAAGTATAATAATTTAAAATTAATGTGTATAAAATTGATTTATAATACATTTCAAAGACTTGTTATATCATAATAATAATAATAGTCAACACTTATCCATACTTGCTTTATTGGCTGGATTCCATAAAATCAATTTCTTTCATATTCATATTTATAATACTATTATAAAGTAAACTAATATAAAGTGTATAATAAAATTACTGACTTAGATTATACAGAATCTAATATATGTATGATTTTTAAACAACTTGTATATTTATCGGGGACAACATTAAATTGTTCGAGAAATAATAAAGAATGTTATAACTACAGGATATTAATAGTAAAAAATCCAATCATATGTAATTGCAATAAATATACACCAATAAATTTATAAAGTAGGTTATAACGGTACGGTAATAAATATTACTAAAACCACAGATAATATAATATTACATACTAAAACTAACACTTGATAGAGGAGTTCATATTAGGCTTTAAAAAAAAACTTTTCATAATTCGAATAACGTTCCATTTGATATATAATTGTTCAATTTCACGACTGTCGTTGGCATTCGGAGTGCTATATATATTTACAGGTATATGTATTTTGTACAAATCTAATACACATTTACCGTTATATTTAGAAGCATTGTAAATTGTCGATATTGGATGTCTATACGTTACGTTTCATTACATGACATGCCGATATTTTACGCCGCATATTTGAATCCAACGCAGGAGGCGAGGCTACTGCTGTCTCTCGATATCGATATCCATGTTTCCTTTACCGGAGAGACAGTCAAAAATATGAATTGACGCACATTAATTTCTTTTTCTATTGCATATTACGACAACATAAATAGATAAAATAAAATAAATACGTAAAAGTTGGCAATGAATAGATTTATTATTATTAATAAGTTTTTTATTGCGGCATAAATTTGTTATATTTGAATAGTCAAATATAAAAAAATTATGCCGCACTATAACAAATACTTTTTCAAGTAAATTGAATTCGAACTTATTTTTCACCTCAGTATTGTCAATTTTGTTGCTATAGTTGCGTCCCTTGGCTATTCTCTGCCTCCTGTTCGTCCTCAGAAACTGTTTACACTGTACTTTTCAATTCAAGTTTGTAAACAGAAAAATAATATCCTATGGGATGTACACGGTTATGTAAAATATATTGTGCGTTATTTATTTATTTTCATCTCCGACGAAATACTTTCGAATTATAGGGAATC